TTTCGTATTTCTGGAAATTACCGTTATATGGGAAGTGGGCGTGGTTAAAGTCCGATTTCGCCCATTTTCAATACCAACCTACCTTGGATTAAGGGAAACCTACATACCAAATTTCGTTGAGATATCTCAGACGGACAGACGGACAGACGGACGGACAGACAGACATGGCTTAATCGATTTCTTTTTTCATCCTGATCATTTATGTATACATTTGTCTATATCTATCTCGATTCGTTTTGGCTGTTACAAACAACCGTTATGTGAACAAAATTAATATACCCTTGTGCACAAGTGCGCTCGGGTATAAAAAATGATTCAGCAAACTGTAAGAATACCGCTATTTGGCCCAAGTACCGAAGAGGTGATTCCTTCATACCGGGTACCCATTTTCATATATCGTGAATTTCAGTCATTCACAATATTTTATTTTCATCGCCTGTGAAAATTTGGATGCAATTATCTGTCAATCTCAGTCAATAAGCACAAATGCACGCGCGTAAAATTAAAAAAGTTCCACAAAATTGTTAAATTATTTCACCAAAAGCCAAAAAAAAACCTACAAAACGTATATAAAATTTTCTTTGGTGTACATTCAGTTAAAGAATTAAGTAACAACTATGTCGGGATTTTCGTTTGGAACACCATCACAACAACAAGCCGCGGGTTTCAGCTTCGGTGCACCAACTGCAACGGGTGGAACCAGCGCGCCTGCTTTCGGTGCTGCAGCCACAACAGCGGCGCCCGCGTTTGGCGCCGGCACCGCCGCTGCCCCAGCATTCGGAGCAGCACCTGCATTTGGTGCAGCCGCTACCTCACAGGCGCCAGCATTTGGTGCCACCGCGCAACCAACAGCTACCGTAGCACCATTTAGTTCAACTGCGGCGGCTGCAGCACCCGCCTTTGGCGCTACACAAGCATCTGTCGCACCCACATTTGGAACACCTGTGGCTGCAGCTCCAGCATTCGGTGCAACCGCAGTAAGTAGTGCAGCGCCCTCGTTTAACTTTGGCGGCGGTCTAGGAGGAGCAGCTACATCAACTACTGCTACAAATCCAGCGCCAGCATTTAGTTTTGGTGGGCTAGGCGGCACAGCTGCCCCAACAGCAGCGACTTCTACGGCACCGTCATTAGGGGGTTTAGGTGGTCTAGGAGGTGGTTTGGCATTTGGCAAACCAGCAACTACAACCACCTCGGCTAGCTTGAATTTCGGTACAACAACCACGTCTGTAGCGTCAGGCGGAATGTGGAAACCAACAGTCACCTCAACTACGGCATCGGCTACACCATTTATTGGCTTAGGTGGAGTTGATGTAAGTGCAACACAGCCAAAAGCAGGAGATATGAAGCAAGACGTAAAGGTAATGTATATGTAGTATACGCCCGTATAATAGTTTTCTCTAAAATTTTTTTTATTTAGGTGAAAGAAACACTTGTGCCCGACGAAATTGCCAAAACCGTGGACGCACTTAAATCACATATTAAAGCGCAAAAGACACTTTCTTCCGATATCGGACGGACATCGACTTCGAAGCTAAACAATGTTTCACACGAAATAACCAATATTCAATGGGCACTTCAAGAGATCTCCAACTCAGTGGACACTAATTACAAACAAATAAAATTGCTGCGCAAGGAAACTTCGAAAACTATACAGGCAGTTGAAATGGCTCAGCGCACACAAGATACACCAGCTGGCTTGCAATTCGAAAATACTGCACCTTTCCAATTTTTTCAGGGTTTGGTCGCCAAGTATGAGCATGATTTGATTAACTTCCGACAACAAATAGCGCTTACCGAACATCACATGCGTTCGTTAACCAACCCGCAGACGGTGTCGCCGGAGGATATAAAACGTGGTTTCCGCCAAATCAATGAGAGTTTTATTTCACTAGCTGGCCGTTTGCAGGAACTGCATCAAAAAGTTGAAACACAAAAGGAACAATTTCTCAACTTGCGAAAGTATCGTCTGCGAGACACTTCGAATGTCTTTTCGAAGATCGACAATCCCGAAAGCAAAGTCGACACAACAAATATCACCTGTGGACCGACACCTTTTTCTAATATTTCAGCGATGGGCGCATTTGGAAAAAGTTTTAGCAATGCGTCCGCTGGAGCCGCAGGTGCAAGTGGGAGAGCAGCGGGAGCTGGCACCACATAAATGGGGAAAACTAAATAAATAGTTCAGTAAATAAAAATTTGTACATCTTAGCATTGGCAGTCATTTTGCAAAATTGTTGTAGTTACATATTTTCAGAGCTTTTTTGTAGCTTTTGTCAGAAGCAAGTTTACTAGTAAATATTTGCAATCATTTTGGAATAAAAAAGTGAATTAAATGCAAGTTTCTTGTTTTCAAATTGGGAGCAGTACAAGCTTTATTTGAGCTTGAGGTCTTATTAGATGTGAGGATCTATAAATTGTGGTTTTTCTAAAAATAGCCCTAAGCTTAAATACAATTCTTTTGAAGTTTATAACACGAAGATTTAAAATGCATGCACTGCTGAATATTTTACAAAATTTGTTAAATTTATTAAATGTTAGTCAGCATAAAAAGACCTCATATATTTCTTTATAACTTTCTTAAAACAAAAAGTATGAGTAATACACACCAAATCATACTTCTACCCTGTCGGAAGCTCCAACAACGAAAATGAGAACATGCCTAAATCTGCTATAGCTTAGCATTTTATTCAGCAACCATCTTTTTCATTTAGCAAGCTAATACATTCCATCTTTGATAAATGTTTCTTCAAATTGCATATAAAAGATAATTTACTCTCAGAATTTGAACAATTTTTTTTTCGATTATATATATTTTTGTATGATTTAATAATAAACGTAATTAAAGGTTTTAAGGGAAGGCCTGCAATTTGCCAATGCGAAAGCAACATTTAACACAATCTCAACGCAATAATTAGTATATATCATCGGCATTTATCATTTCTTAATAACTTGTATTACGTCCTCGTCGGCCATAATATGCGATATACCGACGCGTTGTGGCGAATATTTAGTAGAGGTGCCCCAGACAAGCGCATACTTGAACTGAGCAGCCAATGTACGATGAATAGCATGGCATACATGTTCTACGGTGACACCCTATAATGAAAAAATATATATATAATAATTGACATTAGAATGAGTTGGTAGTATTAAATCGCCACGCAACTTACCTTTCGTAAAATCAAACCATCATCGAAATCTGGAGGTGCACCAGGTTTCTTCGTGTAAACGCGTATCAGCTGCAACGCCTCCCACAACGCCTCTAATAGATAGTCCAAATTGAGTTTCATATTACAACTGACCACAATCGAATTAGCCTCACGCGCCAAGCGATCAACCTCCTCAATTGAAATCTGATCAATTTTGTTGTACACATACAAGCAGGGCAAATACACACGATTCGCCGTCACCACATCGATAAACTCATCTTCGGTGCAGTCCTCACGGAAAAGTACCTCCGCATTGAAAATTTTGAATGAGTGTAAAATAGTTTGTACCATTTTCTCATTGCAGCGTGACAGTGAACAAGTAGAGTTAAAGCTTAGGCCACCACCTTTCTTCTGCTTGAAGTAAATGTTTGGTTTGCGTTTATTCAGTCGTATGCCCACCGATTCCAATTCACGTTCGAGCAAATCACGATGAACATTCGGTTTTGTGGCATCCAACATCATAATGACTAAATCGGCAGTGCGCGCTACGGCGATAACCTGCCTACCACGACCTTTGCCCTAAATTGAATAAAAGAAATAAATTTTATGATTAGTTCTTGCAACTATTTGCAATTTATGTATGTATTTGAATGTAAGTAGATATATTTACCTGAGCAGCACCCTCGATAATTCCAGGCAAATCGAGCAACTGTATATTGGCACCTTTATAATCGATGACACCCGGTATACAGGTAAGAGTCGTAAATTCATAGTTCGCCGCCTCCGATTCGGTCTTGGTGAGCGTAGAGAGCAAAGTAGATTTACCCACGGATGGAAAACCGATTAATGCAACACGCGCATCACCACTTTTGAGCACATCGAAACCTTCACCTTTTTCGCCCTTCTTGGCTGGTTCCAGCAGCTGCGAACGATATTTGGCAAGTTTCGCCTTCAACAAACCCAAATGGTATTCAGTTGCTGGCAAAGATAAATAACTTTTAATGTTATTTTTCGCCAATAAACAATATTTTAAAATAGGTCAAATCTTCAGCAGCTATACATTTTTAATTCGTCAGTTATTTAGTATGCTATAATTATACTTGAGCAAAGTTATTGGCTCATTTTATTTCCTTTTTTAAAAATTGTTAACCTACAAGCATTTAGTAAGCTGCTAGAGCCAAAAACAAAAAACGCATTTGCCAGCGGAGCACGCACGTCTCGTGCAGCGCGACCACACCAAGGCCGCTGGTTCGTCTCCAACTTACCTTTGTTCTTCTGCGTGCGCGCGATTTCCTTCTCAATTTCTGAGATCTTCTCCAAGATACCCATCTTAAAAGCTCTTTCAATATACTATTTTATTGACAAAGCATTTGTCTATTTTTTGGAAATAATTTAGCTTTTCTGCCTTCGCCTGATTGTAAATTGCTTGCCGCTGCCTCTGCCGACGTCGCTGCTATCGGCTTGAATAAATGGGCAACTGTCAAATAATGGTGAATGGTTCGCGTGCCAAAAAGCATTCACAGTGAATTATTTTAGTTTAGACTGCTTTTACACTGTTCAAGTATTGAATTCAATTGTGCTCGCATGTGCCGCAACAAAAGTTTCCAAGTCTGTACATCGAAGTTTGCTGCACCCCAACTTCATTGGGAGCGATTAGTTGAAAGGCCGTTCACACCAGGCGATTGTTGCTTGCAACTAAAAGTTTCATGGAGTACTGGAGCAGAGCTATTATGTTGTCTTAGATCTAAGCCAATAATAATTGGCCACGAAGAATTAATTCAAAACATATCTTTAGCCCACGCAATTGGTTCAAAGTGTATGAATTTGGAAAATTAAACTTTGGCTGGTAATATCTAGGGTATACGTTAATTTTTATAAACTAGACGATATATCAAGTTAAATGTTTTTAAATTTAGTACCTCACGTTCATATATCATATTTCAATACTTTCACTGCAAGTTTTCGAGATATTTAGAAAAACTTACAAAAGCGATGGCTTTCCCAATAGTTTTCAATTCTTCATTACTTTAGTGACCAAGTGAAAATTAATAAAAATTAGACGAGATTTATTTCAAAGATTTTTATGTTTTCGGGAGTTTATATATTATTTAAGGAGCTAAGGACTTGGGCACGCCAATTTGGTAAGTTTTCAAAATAGTAGTAAATGGTTTAAAATACGGATGTCCAAGATTTGGAAACTTTTGATTAGTAAATAGTAGTTTCAAACAAATACATACATAAGTACATATATTAACTAAATAAAGCTTATTTGAGGAACGCCCACTTTATGTCCATGTTCTTGAAAATTTGAATGGAATGGTTTCATTAGTCACCGAAGAGGCACATTTTTCGCGGTTTCTAAATATACCGTTAATTGAAAGTAGGGGCGGCGTTCAACAAAAAGAGATTCCAATGCTTTGCAAAAGAGAGGCTTAGGATTCGAAGGGCCAGTTTTTCAGTACCAGTTTATACTAGGTTCACATATAAGTAGATTATCCTCATTTTCGAGCTTAACACCCTAATCTGTAATTATAACAAGGGATTAGCCATATAAAATTCGTCCCTTGTTAATCTGTAATTATAAAATAATCTCAGATTTAACCGATAACTTTTCGGTGTCCATCCTAGTTTTATCGATTGTTTTTGCGAAAGAGAGGAGAAATGCCAAAATGTAAAAGCAAACAAAAATGTACACTAGCAAGTAAAAGAGGTTTGTAAAGGTATTTTTAATAAAATGTTAAGTTAAAATATATTTATATTGCTTATTATAGCAGAAAAACGTGATCACGGTGGCACAGAGAAGGAAAAATAAATTTTCCTTGAGATGTGAGAATAACAAGCACAACAAATTTGACGGCTAATAATCTGAGATTTGCCTGTGTAAACGGGGTGATTAAAAAACGAGCTTTGATTGAGATAATATTGATATGTGAACATAGTTTTAGACTTAGATTACGTAAACTGCGTTTTAGCTCAGTTATGCATATTTGACGTTGCATGAGAGATGGCAGATAAGGATAAATGCGTATAAGTGATTATCCAAAGCACAGCTTTACAAATATGGAATTTTGTTTGGTTTTGATTTCTACGTAAAAATCTTACTACGCGTCTCCTCCTTTTATATCTGTCCCGCCGAATTTCTTACCATCGCTGTCTTAACATCAGCAGTCATTTCGTAGTTTGACAACTCAATTTTAATTTTACCGCGCCATTTACATTGAGTACAGATCGATCTGATTGGCTTGGTGCCTGTTTCAAAATGGTATATTAAGACAGCAAGTTGCCCACATGAGAAAACGGTACTAAGTTAAAGCAGAAATTTCACAGATGTTAAGACGAATTTAGTAGAAGGTGGAGTTTAAACCAGCCAGCTCGTGTGTTTAAACCACATCCGTGCACTGAAATACGTTCCCTAACAGGGATGCTTACAGGGCACTGCAGAATAAAGGGTCACCTACATATGTCAGGCTTATGCTAATGATTTTTTCGGGCTCAGTAACTTGACCAACAAGACACTGCTTCACATTCTTACCGAGTGCGATCAGTCTGCAGAAGACGTGAGAGGAGTCTAGGCCACAGCTTGAGCACATCCATTCCCTACCCCCGAAGGCGCTATTGAACTTTCTGAGGCGTCTTGGCTTAGATGAAGTGTTTTGAAGAGAAGAGAGTACAGTAGGTCGTAGAGCACACCTCTATCTATCTACCTATTCTACATATGTCCATATAT